GCGCTGGGCCGCAGCGGGGGTGATGCCATGGAGGACGGGACCTCCCGAGCCGCCCCGTCTCCCCTCCAGCTGTTCGAGTTCAGCATCCCCGAGAAGCAGTACACGGCCTGGAGCCGCACGGTGCAGAACCGCGGGCTGCACAAGGTCTGGCTGGAGAGGGACTCGCCCATCACCCACATCACCTTCAACCCCAAGAACCCCTCGCACATCCTCCTCCACGACGTCTACATGTTCTGCGTCCTCGACAAGTCCCTGGTGAGCCCCTGTGCCCGGTCGGGAGGGCTGGGTTTGTGCCCCAGGGTAACTCCCCGGCCCGGCTGTGCCCGTCCCCGCTGGGAGCGGTGCGTGGCGCCGAGGTGGTGGCGGTCGGGGCAGCGCTGACCCTTGCCGTGGGCTCTCCTCACAGCCCCCGCCAGACGACAGACCCCTCAGAGCACCCTGAAGCAGCTCCCGGAGACCGCCCGGCAGCGGCAGCTCCACGCCTTCAAGATCTGCAAGAAGTTCCAGGTGGGTGATGGCCTTGCTGGGCACATCGAGGCAGGGGTGCTGGGGTGGTGGGGGGTTGCCCTGCACCAGTGGTCCCCACAGCCTCTTGTGCCCAGTTGTTGCTAGCTCCAGCGCCAGAGCAGAGCTGGGTCTCGGCCCCCGTCGTGGCGCAGCGATCTCGTGGGCTCCGATTGCCCAGCCCCGGGTGCTGCCCCTGGTTAGGGCTAAGCCGTCGCCGTCACCACTCTCCTTGTCTCCTGCCCCCCAGCCCCTGCTCTTTGCGGATCTGCTGGACGAGAACTGCCTCGTGATGGTCGAGCGGCCCATCATGGACTTCAAGACCCAGCTGCCCCTGCCCGTCCAACGCAAGAAATTTGGCACCTGAGAGCAGAACGAGCCGCTCCGGCTCTGTGTGTGGTGCTTTCCCAGGGCGCTGCAGGAATAAACCCCGCTGTGCTGTTACGGCTGCGGGCTCCGGGCTCGTCCTTGCCCCGTGGGGCTCCCTGGTGGGGGAGCAGCAGGGGCAGGTTGGCGTTGGACCGAGGACGTGGCTGCCC